GGAAAATTGATGCCCATTTTCCATAAGCTTAGGAGTTAGTGGCAGGTTGTAGTGAGCTAAGCAATTATGTTGAGTTGTTTCTTTTTGTAGCCCAGAGCTGTAGAGCAGCTGGAAGTCAAAGACCATCTTACCCTAATTGAGGGGAGAAAGGATTCTTAAAAGATCACTTATTCCAGATCACTTTTATAGGAAAACCCTTTGAAGAGTCAAAGTCAAAAACATTCTCATTTTTATATGGTGAAATACAAATGCAACAAAAAAGATGTGGCTACCCTGCATCTGGCAAGTCACAAACTACTTCTGGACCATTTCAGAAAACAGGTATCAAAATAAAGACACAAGATGCTACGATGCCCATGCTAGGTTTAACAAATCCTTTCCTTTCTTATTCATAAAGGCAGTATCAAAGGCAGACACTAGCAGCAAACCATAGTCTCCAAACCAAAATTTTAAATGTTTTTAAACCGTAAGTTTTACTGCCCAAACAGATTAATTCTGAGAGTATTGACAAAGTAGTTTTAAACTGGTCAAAATACAGTATTTTCAAAAAAGTATAATAGTCCAGTGCTTCAGTTATCCCAGAAACTGAAGACGGTTGCAAATCCATAAATGAAACGTACTATCTCATTTAGACTTAAATTCTATACACATTTACCCAACAGTACATTCCTTTGATTTTAGTGGGATCTGCTTCTGAGCAGATATATAATTATGTCCTCCTTTACTCACCTTTTCCTCTAAATTAAACCACCTCAGATATTGTAACCTTTCCTCATAGGGACTCCCTCCAGTTCCTTGGTCATTTTGGTTGCCCTTTCTGCATTTTTTTTTAAATGTAGATCATCAGAACTTTATACTGTATTCCAGATGTGGTAGATTATGAATTTAAAGAAGGGCATGATAGTAACAGTTTTGTTCTTGATTTTTTCTTTAAAGTATACCTAATAAAGTGTGTCCGTGTGCATATTTATGTTGACAGCAGCCACATGCTGTATCAACATTTTCATCAAACTCTCTGCCGCAATTCTAAGAACCCTTTCTTGGCCAATCATTGCCAACTAAGATGCCATTGGGACATATGTGAAGCTGGGATATCTGGGCCCTGTATAAATGGATATCTTTACAGTTTCCAACACTGAATCTCATTTGCTATTTTATTGCTCAATGAACACAATGATTTCTCAGTATTACTAAAGATAATTCAATTTAGTTAAAAAAATATTGAAGGAAGTAGACAACTAAAGTTCTGACACTAACTTCACATGTGGAATTGAAAGTGAGTTTGCAAGATACTTCCTGTAAGTAAATGAAAACTCACTGGATATAGCAATATATTACAATCATGAGCACACCTCCTTTATGGAATGGTTCCTCAATTTAGAAACTTCTTTGGTGAATACAGAGACATGTAGAGGGATTAACTCCCTACAGAGGTACTGTGATATTTTAGAAAAGATGTGAAAGGAAACGAAAACGATTCAGTGAAGATTTTTCTTCATTACTTCCCAGCCCACTGAAGTGAACATACAATGAGGGAGGTCCATACACATTGATTTTAGATCTGAGGAAGTATACAGCTAACAGCATTTTAAGTGTATCCATTTTCAGTTAGTTCAACAAAATTACGAATGAAGAAAGTAACAAAGTGAAAGTTTTTTGTGAGGAAATTGCAGGCTAAAAGTGATCATTTAGATTGTGAAATGTTTCTTTTCATCAAAAGTAAAGGGTTTTTAAATACAGAAGTAAAGTCAGGAGGGTTTTTTGGTTCCTTTATCCTAGCTAGACGTTTTGCAAGCTGTAATCTGTGTCCCTTTCAGGATGGTAATCTTCAGCAATTTCGCTGTTCAAAGAGTCTTTTTTTGATCCTAAAAGGTACTTGCTAGAAAATTTCTGGCAATAAAGATCATAACCAACCTCCAAGAAGTCTTCAGAAACAGCACACACTCTGTGTTCAAAAATAAAAGGACCTTACACATCTCTAACCAAACTGTGCCCAAAGCTTGTTGTAATGTGTTGTTCATATAAATAAGAGCAATTTAAAGTATGCCTCTTAATATTTTCAAGCTTGATAAATGAATGCTATCAACATTAATTTTTTACAGTAGCCTTTCTTGTATATAACAACAAAAAGTGTTTAAAAGGTGTCCCCATTTTATAGATGGAAATGTTTAAGGAAATAAAAGTTCAAGTATATGGTCAAAGAAAGGTTACACACAGAGATTCAACTTTACTAGATCTCATCAGCTGCATTTGTATAATTTACTTTAGTGCTTATACAGTTTGCACATTTTAAAATATAGATTTAGGATATCACTTGTCATATCTGAAGTGCGATTTTCTGAAGTTCAGTTCTAACATGAATGAAAAGAATGACTGTACTAGTTGTTGTTGTTTAGTTGGTAAATCATGTTGACTTTTCGTGACCCCATGGAACAAGCACTCCAGGCCTTCCTGTCTTCCACTGCCTCCCGGAGTTGGGTCAAATTCACGTTGGTAGCTTCGATGACACTGTCCAACCATCTCGTCCTCTGTCGTCCCCTTCTCTTCTTGCCTTCACACTTTCCTAACGTCAGGGTCTTTTCCAGGGAGTCTTCTCTTCTCATGAGATGGCCAAAGTATTGGAGCCTCAGCTTCAGGATCTGTCCTTCCAGTGAGCACTCAGGGTTGATTTCCTTCAAAATGGATATGTTTGTTCTCTTTGCAGTCCAGGGGACTCTCAAGAGTCTCCTCCAGCACCACAATTCAAAAGCATCAATTATTCGGCAGTCAGCCTTCTTTATGGCCCAGCTCTCACTTCCATACATCACTACTGGAAAAAAAATAGCTTTGACTATGCAGACCTTGACAGTACTACTACATTAATATAAATTATGGTTGTTTATTCTGATAGGAATGAACTTCAGTAAGTCATGATCTTGCATACTCCTCCCAACTTTGGCAAGGACACCAGGCGTTTGGAAGGTCTTGCTTTTGTTTTGTATGAAATGCAGACAGTTGTCTCATCCGAACTCAAGAAACTCTAGTTTAACCTGCTTGGATTATTTGAAAAATGCTAACTGCAAACCATAGGATATGAAGTTGGTTTGTTTGAACAAACCCTATTTAAGATTGACCAGAGATTGACACTGAAAGGCAAAGCTAAATTGTAGTTCATGAAAATTAGAAGCAAAACCTTTTCATCTCCTTTTCAAGACCACACTGGAGGAGAGTATAGCTTGTGAGTTTGAGGTTCACAGCAGTTTGTCCCCATCACAATAAAGTATGGATTATTTTGACATACAAACTATCATTTTTCCAGTGCTGGCATTTATTCATTCACAGTATGTAATAACAATAACATTAATCTTAGAACTGCAGAGCTGGAAGGGATGATATGGATCATTGATTCTAGCACCTGTCAAGAAGGCACAATGGGGAACTGAACTCCCAGATACTTAAACCATTGAGCTATCCAGCAGTTCTGTTTGTTTATATCCCTACCATCAGAACAATTTAAAAACATAAAAACTAAAATAATAACAAACATCCCAGTAAACTCTTTTGCCTTACTTTGAAGTAATGCATTCAGGAATTACCTCACCCCTGGCCACAATTTATCATGCCAACAGTTTAAGACTATATGTGAACATACTGTATTTTGCAAAATTTTTGTTCAAACTTTTGATGTTTTGCACTCTTAGACTGTAAAGTACCTGTCCATGTTATTTTTTTATAGAAAAGTTTTTGAGGAATGTAGTAGTCTGAAGCTTCAAATGAGAAAGCAGCTTCCTAATGAACCACAACAGGATCTGCAGAGGCAATTCACATTCAGACCAGCCAGTTAAGTAATTAACAGCACTAAGCTTTCGTTTCACAACAAAAGTGCTTTCCCCACAATCTGAAGCTTACTGTGTTTGACAAGATTCAGGACTAGCACCCAATCCTCCATATTAAAACTGTGAAGCTTTTCTTTTTTATATCCCATCTTCTGAACATCACACCCCAATTCCTATATCACCAAAACACCATCTACAGACACACTGCTGTCCTTACAGGAACAAATTGTGACTAATCATACAGGGAAAAGCCTGTTCAAATTGTTCTGCCTTGAAAAAGTAGAAGCCTCCCAGCAGCAGAGATTTTTTTAAAAGCTGCTTTGGGAGCAGAAAGGGTCGGACCAATTCGAATCAGTCATGCAGTCAATTTTTTCAAAAAAAGTACCTGTACTGTACTTAGAATTCACCCATTTTATAAGGGGAGCAAATCCTATCGTATTTGACCTTGTAGTTGCTCTCTCCTCACTGAGCCAGCTCTACTCTATGTCGCCACCAAGGGCAGATATGTGTGTGTGAGAGAAGAAGGAAGGAGGGGTGAAGTGGCTTATGTCGGAGGACTGCCTGCTCTCTCCCTCAGCAGAGGAGGGAGCCCAGCCAGCTCTGCACTACTGGGGCCAGAATACTTCTCCCTGTTGGTCGGATAACCCTCTGTTCCTAAGGGCTGGTGTTGCACGAATGGAGCAGAGTGAATAACTGCACACGACTGTGTGTGTGTGTGTGTGCGTGCCTGCGTGGGTTAGCCTTCTCATCCATCTTGCTCGTCTACCCTCCTTCTTTGGCATCTCTGGGTTCTCCCCATGGGGCGGCATCTCTATCCCTACAGGAGAGGCCAGAGGAGGAGGAGGACCGAAAGCACGACGCTTCCTGCTCCTCCTAACTTGGAACCACCCTTAGCATAACCTACAGCCCAGCTTCAACAGACCGCTCGTGGAGTTACTTATGAGAAAATGGACCCTGCATTTTTGCCGGGACACGAACAGGAAGGACCACCCGATGACGGCTCATCCAGAAGTAAACCCCACAGCATTCAGCAGAGCTCCCTTTGAAGTAAATGGGGGAAGGAGCCCACGTGGGCTGGATGCGGCAGGGAAGGCGAACTTGCACCTTCCCAGGATTAGGAGAGGAGTCTAAACAGCCAGCTCCACGTGGAACGTTTGGGAGCCAGATCCCGCGAGAGTCCAGAAATCTCGAGTCTGGGAAGGCGCGCGTTCGACGGTCTCCTAGCAACGGGTTCTTTGAGCTTCAGCGGGAAGCCATGGCGCGTCGGGAAAGTGGAGCCGGAGGGGGGCAGCCGCAGCAGCAGCGGCGCTTCACCGTGACCGACCTCAAACATCAGGCCGCCGAGTATTACCGGAACAATGAAGTGCCGCAACGCCTGGAGGAAGTGCTGAACGCCATGTTCTACCAGCGCCCCGCCGACTTCTACGGGTACCTTGTAGGTGGAGTTCCCCCCCGTCCCCTCCTCCTCCCCGCCCCATGTCTCTATAAGCCTTTGCCTGCTGCCCTCCCCGGAGGCTGGAAGAAAAGCCCCCAAGAGTAGAGATCGGGGGACGGGACGGGAGGAAGGTCGAACCGGGACCCGTGAGGAGGGACCGCAACTTTTCTACTGCTTTTCTAGGTCGTTGCAGAGGCTTTTGTAGATCCAGTCCACAACGCAAGTTGCAGTCTCAAGAGGCAATAATATGTAGCTAAAGTGGTGGTGGGGACTGTGGTTAAAGGTGGCTGAATTGCAGAAGATACAGAACAGAGATAATTGCCATTCACGCAGACATTTGTTCATTGATAAGAAGTCCAAGTGGCCGAAATTTCTTGGCACAGCTCTGCCTGTGCAAGACTGATGGTGTCATCACCTTTTATTCATTTCTTTAAAAAAAAAACTCCCTCCCATGTTATGAGGCTCCCTAGGGATCCCTTTTGTTCTGAGGAAGCCTTTGGGGGCCTCAGGATAGTGGGAGGGGAAGTCTTTTTAATGGCCAAAAATCACCCTTCAAGGCTTCCCCAGGACAAAAGAGATCCCTAGGGAGTCTCACAGCCCGGTGGAGGACAATTGCAACTGGAAACTTTTAATGAACAGTGAAAAAGCAGCAGCTGATGACATCAACAATCTTGTGTCTGCAGAACTATCTTGTGTCTGCCAGCAGTATTTTAACCCTAGTGACTAAAGGCCTTTGTCCCTATCCAAGTTAAAGGAGATACAGTAAAGAGTTAACTTTGGAGGAATTCTTGTTTTATATTGAAACTTGTTGTTGATGCTTCTCTGTTCAAAAATAACCAGTTGGTTAGTAACATGGTCTCCTGGACTGTTGAAGTATTCCCACACAAGATTTCTGACATTGTCATTACTAATATTGAAGTTATGTTAATTTATTTCCTGCAGAGATTGTATTATTTGTCATACCTAAACTGTGAAAGAGAGTTAGTGGCAATTGATGGTGTGTACCATGTGGGAAGATGAGATGACAATCATATGGGCACTCTTACAGTACCACTGACGTTTTCAGTTCCTGAAATATTATTGTTAGAGTGGATATGGAGTATTATTAAAGTTTTAATAATAAATAATAATATAATTTATTATTTAGAAATATAAATATTCTGAAGGATACAACAGACGAACATTAAGAAAAACTTCAGAGCATGTGTGCTATTCCCTGCTTATCAGCCACTAAAATCTTATCTAAGAAAAACTATACTGTATTTATATTCTGCATTTCTTTCAGCAGGTTCACGGTGAGGTACACAGGGCTCTTCTTCTTCCATTAATTTCACAGCAACCCAGTGAGGCAAATCAGGTTGAGGAGAATATGACTGGACCAAGATCACCAGCGAGTTTAATAGTTCATTGAGAAACTGAACCTGGATCTTAATGTTCAGTACTCCTTAACTACATTGGACTGTTTTTCTGTGCTTGGAGGATCAATAAGGCTTGCAGCATAAACAAATTCCTTATCACAATACTAGGGCTTTGTTCTAGATTTTTTTGGCCATCCTGTTCTAAAGACTCAGAATGCACAATTGTAGATTTCAATTTCATTTTATACTCACAGTTTGCCATCATGATGGCTCATCCAGACAAGAAGTTCTCTGAAGGAACATTTTGGATATGCAAGAGTCATAAGCTTTCCCCAAGGGTTTACAAATGCACTTCTGTTGGGTACAACTTTTAACCTGACAGAGCATCCAGTCAAATTTCTGTACTCTGCTTTGCTTGAAAAAGGCAGGAGATTTCCCCTGACAATGAATGGGACTTCAGAAATGTAGTGAGTCATTATTTTTTGAGTGTCAGGCTGACTGACCCCCTGGCTATAGTTTTCTTATCCGTATCCAGCAAATGTTCCAGTGTACCATATTGTATCTTGAAGTACTGTACTCCCATATGGAGTTTTTCTCTCAGGTCTAAGCACCTACCACTAGTACCTACCACTAGCAAACACCAATAATGTATATCCACAGCACTCTAAACAGCAGGGTTAGAAACAGCATGGTCAGTATAGGTCACCATGTTGAATGAATGCCATTGCAGTTTATTCTCAAATATTAACTAATGTTCAGTGGAAACTAGGTGGGCTGTGTTGAAATTTAAGAACTGATCTGAATATTTTACTGCAAATTGACATGATTCCAACTGATGGATAAATGAACAATCCAATTTTAGTCAATGGGTACATTGCAGAAAATAGCATGATTGAAATCTCCCTTTTAAAGTGTGAAAACTAATTACAGTTATTATTATTCTCAAGGCAAACTACTTTTCTGGATTATCAAAGCCTCCAGTGATATGTAAAATATTTGGGAAAAAGATTTTGGATGGGATTGGCCGACCAGCATTAGAAGTGAAAGTTTATTGCCGAGTTAGGGACTCTGACAAGGTATGAACTTGATTGTGCTTCATTGTGTATATAAATCAGTGGTGTCCAGCTGACGGACTGCAGAGATTCTGAAAGATCTCCAAATTCTTGTCTGTTTATCTGTGCGGACTCAGGTCAAGCCCAGCCTGCCATTGGAATAATACAGAAAGTTCAAAAGTTTGAGATAAAGCATACTAACATGAGTGCACTTATGCGTCTTTAGGAGTTTCTCAACCTCATTAATAAGAGACATGGAATGGGGAGTGCTGATCATGACTGAGCTTGGTGCATGAGGAAGGCTCCTTCGACCCTGCCCTCATAACTGATGATATAACTGATAAAAATTAGCCTCCTCCAAAGATATTACCATGTTTCCCTGAAAATAAGACAGGGTCATATATTATTTTTTGCTGCAAAAACCACATTAGGGCTTATTTTCAGGGGATTTTTTATTTTTTGTCATGTACAACAATCTACATCTATTCAAATACAGTCATGTCTTCTTCTGGTTGCTGCAAAATGGTGGAGGGCAGGGTTTCACTTAACTGGGGCTTATATTGGGGGTGGGGCTTATATTACAAGTATCCTGAAAAATCACACTAGGGTAGATTTTCAGGTTAGGTCTTATTTTCAAGGAAACAGGGTAGTACCAATAGAACCTTCTGAGGTGAACAGCAGTTTCAGTGATATAAAAGCATGGATTTTCATCAGGACCACAACAGTGGTAGGAGGTTTCATGATTCTTTGCACATTGTGTAGCTGTTGTGATTTAGGGACGAATAAGATATCTCTAGAGGTGTTAAATGCATCCACATGTTTAACACATGGAGTTTGGCTTTTACTGGACAACCTCAGTCTCAGACTGTGATTCCTTTTGGCAAAAGAATCCAATCTCAACAGATGAGTCACCCATGTTTCACCTATCAATATATTCCACATCTCACAGTAGAAGATTCAAGTGGATTGAATGAAAGAATTAAGGCCATTCTTCTGTCTTTCATGTCTTGAAATATATGTTTTAAGGTCTGTTTAAGAGAAATCTAATGATAAATAGTACAGTGTAATCTAGTGGTACTAGCATTATTCAAAAGTTCATGTGAATATTACTGTTTAGAGTAATAAAAATTAAAATCAAATTAAAATGTATTAGAAGAAGTCTAGTGTAGTGATAAAATTCTTCAAATGCTTGAGAGGCAATACTTGAGGTGTAAAGAGTTTATAATATTTCTCAGTGGAAGAGGAGAAAAACCGTTTCGAACATAAATCAATAAAAAAAGCCATTAGCAAGAAATAATTTCATTCTTATATTCATTATGCGAAGTTTCAATAGTAAGGGTATTTTAAAATGCTATTCTGCAGAATATATGTTCCGCCATTCTCTCTTCTCATGCTGAAATGCTTGAAAATGCCTCACCAGAAGCAGTTGATGCAGATGAAAAGGAGAGATGTGAATCTATAAGTACAGCTATTGAATGGATAAATGAATCATTCAATGAAATGCTTAAAGGCCTTCAACCTACTGATCAACATAACATTGACAAACTGCTTGGGTAAGTCTTGCATATTTATTCTATTTATCATTCAGTGATTTTTTTCTTTTGAAATTCCATGATATTACAACAATTGTGTAATTCAGCCATGAAGATGTATTGTACTTAAGAATCTGAGACAACTGTGCATGAATAGTTGCAGGCAAATTTTATTTAAACAAATCTATTTGTTTACTAGACCAGAGATCGATCAACCCCCTGAGCCGGACCGGCCGCGGAGACAGACCTCCTGCTCCCCTGCATGCAGTGCGTGCCAGTGCTGGCAGGAGTTCTCCCCCACCCCTTCACACAAGCACCTGCGCAAAGGGGTGGGTGGGTGCGCGTGCCTGTGTGCAGGCACTCTGTGCATGTGCAAACAGGTGGGGGAGTGCTCACGCCAGCACTGGCATGTGTGTGCGTGCTCCCCCACCACTTCGCACATGGTGCCCTGCCTTCCTCAGATGCTCAGCCGGTCCACGGTCCCAAAAAGGTTGGGGACCGCTGCACTACACAACAAATCTTGTTACAATAAATATCCATTAACTTAAGAGATACAGTTCAAAATTGTGATATCAAAGAAGAAAAACTAAGCAATAAATACTAACAAAGACAAGGGAGTTCAGACAGAAATGTAAGTGAATCTGAATTGATCCATTAATAAATATTATGGCTCTAAATAAGGTAGCATGCATTACACAATGTCAGCTAGACTGTTTACAAACTCAGCTCTACATACTGCAACTACAATTCAGCCCCAAATTCTAAAGGCGTAGAATTACGTGAGTTAAAAAAGGCTCTGAAATAGATTATGATGTGATTGCTGTAGTTCTGTGCTGATTGACACCCGCTACTCATCAAACTGCTCTGTGGAGAGATTTAATGTGCAGACTCCTTGCAACATTGGTTACATTTCAGCATCAGCTTGTTGAAATATAAGCTTCAATTCTGACTAAAAAAGGAATTTCTTGCAACCTATCACTGATGGAAGCATAGGCAGGTCTGCCTGTATGTTAGTTTTTATTTATTTTTAAGTTTCTTCTCTTGCTCGTATTTTCTTAAATGTCTACAGCTTTAAGCTTCCTTCTCTTCTTTCACTCCCACTTGAGCACAAAATAATAAATATTGTTGCAACCACAAGCTTCTTCATAATCTGATGTACGAAAATCATTATTAAGGAAACTGGGTACTTGTTTTTGATGAACTGTTCAGCCATAAGTGACCTCATTGTTTTCCCCAAACATTATTATTATGTATTTAATTAGCCAGAAGTCCTCCTTGAATGCTCCACTACGTTCTTTTCTGTCAATAGAGTGGTTGTGCTATTCGTTGAGCCTGCTGGGGAAACCTGTTCAGTGGCTTGAAACTATATTCTTCCCACATTGGTGGTGATGGGCTTGCGTATTAGGCTGAGGAGGAAAGGAATCAACACTGAGAGAAGCAGGATTTGTTTTAAGTGTTTACTTCATTTCTTCTAACAGGATTGAAAAAATTCAGCACTGAAAAAGGAAATAATAAATACAATATAATAAAATGCTACAGTAGTTATTATTAGTGGTCAGATTATCATTGTAGCTTTTCCCCAAGACTTGTTAAAAGAGCCATATTCTAATCTAATGCTCCAAGTGTCACTACCTAGAGCATTTTTAAAGAGGGAATCTCTGAGTTATTAATACAGCACCAAAAAGGTTCTGGTCCTTGTGCCTACCTTCCAGGTGTCAGTTTGTTGAAGGATCTAAAGTAGGACCTCGTTTGTTGAACGGAATATGTTTGGGATACATATTCGAGAATGTACACCCAAAACAATTTAGAGCTCTAAAGGTAAAAAACATCCCTTTGTTAGTCTGGAAGCCAGCAGATAGCCAGTGTAGGTCATATACAACTAAAGTTATATTCTGTTTTCACACCATCTGGAACAGTTGTTTGGCTGCAGAATTTTGGGCCATTTGAATTTTGTGAATAATGTGCAGACTCCTTGCAGCATTGGTTACATTTCAGCATCAGTTTTCATAGGCAGCCCCATGAATATAAACAATATTGGAAACTTTTTTGCTGGCTTCTCTCCATATGGTTTTGTTTAGAATAACTATTTCTTTCTGAAACAGAATAAACAGCATGATAATAGCAAGTGTTATTTGTTGGCTGAATTTCTGTTGTGCATTTATACAAATAGCGTAACTTTTGCCATAAGTTAAAAAGTCTCCATAGGCACCATCTATTGCACGCTGAGCCATGTGACTCAGCTTGTAACAATTAATGTTTACAGAGATTTCTTAACTTTCAACAATTTCCTTCCCAGATTTACACTGTTTGTGTAACTGAGCAACAGTGTTTCATTTTATGTCATGAAACTTCCCACCCTTAGTCTTGTAAAGTTTGAGTCCATAGTGTTCTAAAACAATATGTGGCCATGGTTCTTTCTTTTATGGCAGTGAATACTTTACAAAGAAAGCAGAAGAAGACAATGAAAGAAGGAAAACTGAAAAAGAAAATGAAAGCCAGGAAGCAGTGTTGACTGTTCCTCAAGCTGCAGCAGCACCTTCTGGAAAAAAGAAATCAAATAAACCAGGTTGAAGAATGAATTTTTTATTGATAAAGGAGAAATGTTATCATGGTATTCAGCTTTCCCCTTCTAACAGAAGGATCCTTGTGTAAGGCAGATAGTGAAATCTGCATGGCAGTCCAAAATGTGTTTCTTTTCTTTCTACACTTGTAGAACTTCCCTCCTTACCTTGCTTGCTTTCTTGCATTCTGCTAGCACTTCCGGCATGTTTGCTTCCTGATGTCAGATTGCAGGCTGTAACTCATTGCAAGTAAATCCGGAACAGCTACACATAGGGAATAGGCAACACTGAGTGATAATCGTGAAACTATTTCTTTTCCTTTGTTGCTGTCTGAGCTCTTTTAATGGAGATTTCAGAAGGAAGAAGAGGTGCTGGATTCAGTTGCTTTGGATTCCCATTTTCCTCCTTCGACTGATGTTAGAGGAGCCTACCTGAACATCACATAGGATCCTCCAGCTTGAAGTTACATTCTGTATCTTGATACATGAGCATGTATCCAATGAACTTGTGCTAGTCTACTTCATTTTACTACAATAAAATGTAGAAGAGTACACTAATTGCTGCCAGGTTCATGTTGATTTGGTCAAGTTTGATGGAACAACCACAAGCTGAAGGGGCACTGAGGATGACCCATTGCTTTATGCTGGTTTGCGAGATGATCTAGTTGCACCATCTCTTATCAGATAAGACCTTCATAGAAAGTTTTTTTCATTCAATGTAATAACATTCTAATCACCCTGTAGTGTAAGTGGTTGACTCCTGGACTCTGTAACCCCCTGTTGAAATTCAGGTGGATGTGCCAAGTGCTCCTGTTATTACTAGCCTTTTGAACAGTTGCTATTGGCTGTTTCCATTATTAGTTAAAGAAAAGAATGTGAATGTATATATGGTTTGAGACAATTTGCCTCCAGAAGTTACACTATTTGCATTGCTAAGCAAAATGATTTTGGCCATTGATTTATAAATATTATGCAGTTGGTATTGATAACTTTGCATCACAGGTTATGTTACTTTAGTTGCTGTTGTTTTCTTAAAGAGCAATCCTAAATAAGACTAGGGAGAAGTGGAACACGTAACCTTCACTTCACCCCCAGTATTGCTGGTTCGTGCTACTCAAGGGAAATATACATGTACATGTAGTTTTGACAGGCTTTTTCATTTCCAGTTTGTATTTCTAGTTTCTTCCCCATTGGAAGAAGAGGGTATTGGAACAGAGCTAATGGACCTGCATTGGGTCTTTCTAGAGGAATAAAGCAGCTTTGGATTGAGCAGATCAAAAGCCAGCTCCTCCCTGTTCATGGAAAATTCCATTCTGATCTGTTCCACTTGCTACAGTTCCCGAGAACTGTCTTATGTTCTCAAACAAGAGGTGCCTCCACCACTGAGGGATACAATAGACCATTTCGCCATCCCAAGCCATCAGCATTTGGGGGGGTCCTGCTATTAGTGCATGTAAAATAAATAGCACTTTCACTTTGCTTGGAGAAAATATTTGTTGATTAGACACAGATGGAAGAAGAGATCTTTAAACTCCAGGTGTAGAACTTGCCACTTCATAGGGAGTTTTTCATGGAGAATTACACACAAGTTTAAGTTTCTCTGGAGAATGAATGTACTTTCATTCATGCTTGACATTTTGATAATTGTCTTTAGTTGTACTTCCTAGGCATAAAGAGCATCAAATCTACAGTGTGCTTCAAATTAAATACCATTGTAGTTGTGTGCATGCATAGAGTTCCATAGTTGCACTTGGGTATTTATGTTCTGCTGTTCAAAAGTGTTTAAAGGTCAGATTTTCAAAGACACTTAGCACCTACAACTAGTGTCAAGATTTCAAAAGATGTCAGGTCCTATTTGAGAATCAAAGTAAGCCATTGGATGATAAGGATTTGGGAACATAAATGTCAAAGTCGATGCTGATGATGCTAAGTTCTGTGTTACAGAAATCTTACCATTACTAAGGTATCTAAGTGGGAGCAGAGTAATTTTCAAAATGTACTTTGGATTCTGAGTTTTGTGCATGCAAAATATTGCTTGGAAAGTCTAGGTCTAAGCTTAGAATTCATGAGAAGGAAAGAGTGGCTCTATCTTGAAAAAAGAAACCTTGTATGTGGTGGTTGAAATATCAGATGTTAAAACAAAGGTAGTTGAAGTACAAAGCAGAGATGTGTTAGAAAGCAAGTTGGAGAAAATGGTCAGATAAAGGGCTTGAAAAATGCGCTCGTCCACTCGTCTGTGACAAGTGAAAAATGCTGCTTGACAAGTCACAGCTCCCTCTCTCCCTCCCTGCCTCCTTCCCCTCCTCCGCCTCTCTCTGTCTCTATTCCTGCAGTCCTCCCTTCCCCCTCCCATTGCAAAAGGAAAACTGCCCTCTTCTCGCAAGAAGAGAGTTCGAGTGGTACATAGAGATATAGCTCTGCAGGAGAATGTATAGTAGTCCCATGCTGGGGAATATGGAGATTCCTTGCTCCCAATTTGAGCCAAACGAGGATGCATCCTGGGGTGGGAGGGAACCGTGGCTCCTTAAGAGGCTGAATGCTTTTGCTTTCAGTTTTATTTTTCCTGGAGACATTCAAAAGAAAGGCATTCAAAACACAAGCTTCATGACCCCACAGGAACGCAGGTAATAAAGCAATCCAAGTCTGAGAGTATAAATCAGTGATTCCCAATCCCAATAAATTGCAAGGCTATCGTTTGGTCATGTTGACTGGTGAAATTTTTGACTGACTGGTGAGATATTCTAAAATTTTTCAAGTCCTGGTCAGATATGATGGAATTCTTCTTTGGAGCTGCTGTTGTAAGTCATATGCAATTGCTTGTAAAATAAGAAACGTGTGAATTTCTTTTTTAAATTTCCTTTGATTTCAGAACCTTAGCATAACAGTAATGGTAGGGAATATGTGGCTATGGTAGCTATGACTGATGGGAATGGCAATCCAATGCTATTTGAAGGGCCACAAATTCCCTACTCCGGGATAAAGGAATTGTTAGCATTGTCATTCCCCCTGCAATGATGATAATGTAGCTAGCAAATAGTATTTACCTTTTTATCTTATTCTCAGGGAAGAAGGCTTCTGTGATGGAAAAACCAATCCTACCAGCAGAACCCCATGAGCCTGAAGTTCCGGGAAGCATGGCTATTGGGTGTATATCACTTGCTGCTGCCAAGGCTGCAGCAGCTATTCGTGAGATGCCTTTATACTTGCATATTGCTTTGCTGAAATCTAATCAGGTACTGTCAGGATTTGCGCATTTTGCTGAAATTGTTCCACAATTGCAACTCAAGGTGGGAATAGGACAGACCTGGGCAAAGTGTGGCCCGAGGATCACATACGGCCCGCGAGTCGTTCCTGTATGGCCCGCAGACAGTTTTGAACATCAAAACCATTTTTGTCTAAAGTTAATCAGTTGCTTATCTTTAACATACCGCAAAAACCCTCTTTAGTATTTGTGAAGATTAACAAGTTTAAAATAAAAAGAATCATAACATCACTATTTCATTTTATTTTTAAGTAAAGTTGGTTTGGCCCCTGAACACAGTTCAGATTTTTTATGTAGCCCCCCTATAGAAATTAATTGCCCACCCCTGGAATAGGAGGTCAACCTGAGAAATACAGATGTCAGACTGGATTTGCAGTCTGACATCTGGGAAACCTTATATTTAATGTTTGTGGGGTTAGGGACTGAACCCTATTCTGATAGAAGGGTTGAAAAAGTTTGGTATAGCTCAGTGTTTTGATTTTTTGTTGCAAAACTAGATAGAACTGGTTATAAAGATTATGACTGTAGCCAGCTCACTCCTGCAGTTGCACTGGTTTGGTGTGTAAGCCCATAGTGTACAAGGAATGTATAAAGGCAGGAATGTGTAAAGATTTTTATTTTTTTAATTTTATTTTAAGGGTATAATCCTTCAGGTAGCTGGTGCGGCCCTTGCTGATTTAATTTAGAAGGGGCTGGACAAGTTATATGATTCAATCAAGGTTTGGATTGTTTGCTAGTCGCGTCCACGAATGGTGTATAATTTATTTACAAATGTAGGCATCTAGACGAGAGGTCCCCAACCCCCAGTCCGCAACCTGATAGCGGTCCACAGCCTATCCAGGACCGGGTCGCAGACACAGATCTACCCCCCGTGAGCGCTCTCTTTGAGCAGCGTCGCACACATGCATGTGAGCGTGGTCTGCCTCCTGCGCTCACACTGTGCGCATGTGCACATGGCGGTCCCCCGTGAGCACCATCATGCGCTTGCATGTGAGTGGGCTCTGACCCTGGGAGCGTGCTTGTGCGCATGTGTATGAGTGCACCCCCCGAGTGTGGTGTTTGCATTTGTGTGCCGAGCTCTGCCTCCCTGTGGGCACGCCACACACTCCCCCACTGGTCCATGGTTCAAAAAAGTTTGGGGACCACTGATCTAGACAATACACAAGGCAGGTCATCTATAAAACACTGATGAAAAAAAGGCCAGTAAAATCAGGCTTTTATTTATAGAGTGACTACTAATGATAACATATTTCATTTTCCGTTTTAGGAGATATCTAAAGAACTAGCAATGCCACTTCCAATGATGACAATACTGAGTTGTGGAAAGTCATCACCTGGAAGACTTAATTTAATGAAAGAAATTATGCTTATACCTCCAACCTGGCTAACAGTTAAGCAAGTATGGCATTTTGCTGTTTTCACATTGATTATAATACGTACAATATTAAAAAGCACTCAGCTTTATTGTAATTCCCTTGTAAGAAGCAAATCATGCATATATAGTATATGATCCTATATTCAGTTATCTGTGCTTCTACTGTTTTTCCCTGAAAATAAGACAGGGTCTTATATTAAGTTTTGCTCCAAAAATGCAGTAGGGCTTATTTTCAGGTCATGTTTTATTTTTTTCATGTACAACAATCTACATTCATTCAAATACAGTCATCTCATCTTCTGCTTGCTGCACAATGGTGGCGGGCGGGGTTCACTTCACTAGGACTTATTTTGGGGGTAGGGCTTATATTATGAGCATCCTGAAAAATCATACTAGGCTTATTTTCAGGTTAGGTCTTATTTTCATGAAAACAGGATATCTAATAAAGAATAACTAAAATCCTTACCCCCTTTTGGTTATTAATCAGAGTAAAAGTGGACATCTGGGTTTAGGACTGTAATCACGAGGATTTTAGATAATGCATATTAAAATGTACAATAAATCGTACATTTAAGGCAGTGGTCAGGGAACGGGGTAAAAAACCCCAAATGAAAATCCTGGGGTAATGAGGACGCGGCCCTAACCCCCTTCCTTCCTTCCTCCTCCTCCTCTGCCCAGAGGGGTGTCCCTGGCTCCTAATCGCCCCCTTCCCGCCCCCTCCTCTGGCCTAGCTGCAACTGAGCCATTGGCTCCTAATCGCCCCCTTCCTGCCACCTCCTCTGGCCTAGCTGCAACTGAGCCATGCCGGATGGTGGCTGGCAATGGGCCCAGGCCAGCAGTGTACAGCAGCCGAGGCGGCGGCGGTGCCGGCCATGGTGGAGGGTGAGGCCAAGGCGAGTGGCCAGAGAGCCCCAGCCAGGAGGAGCCTCTCCTTCCAGTGCCTGGAGAGGTGGATTGCGGCGGAAGTGGGAGGGCGCGGCCATGATGGCAGCCTGGGCCAGGCTCAGCCTCCCGGCACCAGGACACCGCCGCCCCCATGCCCCGTTCCTGGAGGGCCCATTGGGCAGCAACGGTGCTCACCCGGCCACATAGCTTCCTTTGGCAGTGCATCTGTGCTGGCCAGGCCTGGCGGAGGCTCTTGCCCTCCGTGTGGCAGCTGTTGCAGCCCTTCAACGGTGAGGCCTGCAGGAGCCTTGACGCCGAGGCCCAACGTTGGCCGCCCCGCGAGCAGCCACCAGAGCTGGTGCCGGAGCGGGAGGTGGCGGCATGCACCCCCAGAGGGTGAGCCACCTGCTGCTCTTTGACAGCCGCCCAGGACCCACCCGCAGGTGGAGAAAAGGGGTAATGTTGGCGTATATAAAATTTTTAGGGGGTAAAAGGTAAAAAAGTTCCCTGACCCCTGTTTTAGAATATCATAAAGCAGATCTGTAAAAATAATAACTTACAAAGGAAGAAGGGGGGAAGAATCTGTTTGCTCATTAGTCTCCCGGACATCCTTTCTTTAATCTAATCCCTTGAATTAAAGATACAGTGGTGCCTCGCTTAACGACATTAATTCGTTCCAGTGAAATCATTGTAGAGTGAAAACATCATAAAGCAAAAATAAAAAACCAACTGAAACGCATTAAAACCCGGTTATTGCATTCCAGTGGGCTAAAAACTCACTGTCCAGCGAAGATCTTCCATATCTTCCATTTTCGGTGCCTGTATAGCGAGGAATTCATCCCTAAGGACAGTGGGGAGCCATTTTGAGCACCCGGTGGCCATTTTGAAAACCCAATGATCAGCTGTTTTGATCGTTGTAATGCGAAGAATCGGTTCCCAAAGCAGGGAACCAATATTCGCAAAGAGAAAAAAACCCATTTAAAACATTGTCATGAAGCGGATTCGTCGTAATGCGGGGTAATCATTAAGGGGGGCACGACTGTATATGGTGGTATACTCATATGCTGAAACTTAGAGAGCAACTGAAATAAAGGAAACAATAGGCTATGTGGAAAATAGACTGAGTTTTATATGGCCATCACCTATTCAGCCAGCTAGGAATTGGTATAGACCCTGGTTGCCAAATGTCTGACTGCTGCTCAATGATGGTGGATTAAAACTGGAGAAGTTGTTGTTGTTGTTGTTTTGACTTGTATACTGCAGTTTTGTCTGCTTCCTGCCTGCTAATATCTAAATTTATATGGTTGTGGATCCCTCACAACTTCTCAAGTAGCCTGGCTGGCCACTGTATTTGCAAATAAAATAAAAATCTATAAGTTTTTCAAATGTTACTTTCGATGGAAACAAATTCATGATATTGAGGGCTATTTTTAAATTTTTCTTGTAGGCTATTGAAAGATTTCTGGATATTCAGAAACACGTGTTGAAGTTGATAGAACTGGTGGGTAAAATGGTAAAAATTCAGCAGTTCATACAAAACAATGCTTTGTTATAGGGTCCACTTAACTTTTTTGTGCCTGAACCTTGCAAATGTTACTTCGTGTGTTTCACTTTATATTCTACCCCCCCCAAAAAAACCCAGTTCATTCAGACTCAGTGATGTTATGCAAAGTATTAAACTGGATGTCTTTTCAGTTGGCAACCAAACAACCTATTTACTGTATTTTCCAAACTCAGTTTTCTGATATATTGAACATATATATATATTGAACATTTACCTGCCTTTTTGTGCTTTGCACACTATATACCAGGCGTCGTCTTGAGCCAGACCACGAAGACAGACCTTCCACTCCCCCATGCACTCCCCTCCCCACAGCTGCTTTGCACACGTGCGCATGTGCCAGCACCGCATGAGTGCTCCCCCACCCCTTCACGCATGCACCCGAGTGTCCATGCGAAGGGGTGAGTGTGCACGCAGGCGGGCATGCAGGCGCCCATGTGCGAAGGGATGGGGGAGTGCTCACGGTGGCGGGCAGGTGCCCCCCACACCTTCATGTTTGTGCCCGAGCGCCCACGCTAAGTTATTTGCATGTGTGCATGCGCCCCTGCAAATCTGCGAAGGGGTGGGGGAGCGCTTATGCCAGGGTGGGCGGGTGTTCCCCCACCGCTTCACACATGTGCTTGAGAGTGTGTATGCACATGCATGCACCTGCGGGGGGGGGGCTGCCTTCCTCAGAGGCTCAGCTGGTCTGAGGTCCCAAAAAAGTTGGGGACCGCTGCTATATGCTATCTTCAGATTTCTTAGTTGAAATTATAGCTTTCATTTTAACATTTGTCCAAATTCTAATGTCTTTCTTACAATTTCTTCAAACCATTGCAGCAGCCTAGCTCCGTGGGAGATGGTAAAAAGTCTGCTACACGAGATGCAGGGAAGAAAGTTCCGGTAAGGAATGAGATAATGCTGTCTTAAATTTTAAGAGTAGGTTAGTGAGTAATGAAGTCGTTGGAATAATTAGGTTTATAATCTAATAATCTATGTTGTTTTCATGTGTGTTACTGCTGATTTGTTGGAATGGCTTTGTAACCCTGTAGAGAAGCAGTACATGTATTACATTTGCACCCTTGTGCTAAATGTTATTTTCTGGTACATATAATTATTTTGTAACCGAACTGGAGTAAAATATTAAAATGACAGTAATACAATATAATATACAGAAAGGCAGCAAATATTACCCACCACTAGGAAAAATTGCTAACCAAGAAAAATAAAAATTGACTGTTCCTGATTCAAATACATTCCATACCTCAGGCCTCACAAACAGAATCCAAGATTCCTTTCCATCAAATTGTCTTATCTTCAGGATTTTGTCAGCTATTACATCCTTAATCTTAAACCTTCAATCTGTATTTCCTTGGCCTGCCATTCCAAGTGGAAGGGAGCAAAGTTATGTCTCGTAAAGGTGAGACCCAGTATAATTCCCATGAAGATGGGAACGCAGTTAACAAAGAGATCATGGTGGTTTGATTTTTCTTGATTTTTCCTACACAAAAAGTGGTAGATTGATTGCATATAAGTTAATTTCAGTCATTTAATCAAAAGCAGAATATTCAAATCATCCACACACCATTGCAAGTTCTTAATGGACGTTTTTGTTAAAAAATATGGGGGAAAAACCCAGGAGAAAGCAAAACAAAGGATGGGTTCAAATGAATGACAATTATGTCTAGAACCTCTGTAAAATTCTGTGAATGTGACAAACCAATTACACCATAAAGCTTCATTTTCCTACACCTGTGGATATGACAAAATATATTTTATTCAATCTGTAATGCTTTTCAATGGAATGCCCTCTTCAATGTACCAGGCTCTGATAAAACTCAGTTTGTCTATGGCTGGATTCCCAAACATTAAGGAGCAAGTTCCTGAAAACTTAATTGGACTTATCTCTCAGCAGATGGGCTTGGGCTGTATTTTGTCAGAATCACAATCCAATGCTATATTTCTTGCATCTTGGGATTGAGTTGGTTGTAATGATCCAGCCAAAGTAAAACATCAATAAGTCTTTTTCCATTTGATTATGTTAAGCACATCCATAAATCTCTTTTGCTAAATGAAATAAAATTCATTTTGTCTTGATTGTGTTGATTATATTTGTTTTATACATTGTTAAACATTGTAGTAATGCTGGATCCCCTGGAAATAGCACAATGCCTTCATCAAGTGTTTCACTAAATGTCCTTTTCCCCTAAATTTTCTATAAAGGCTGCAAAGTAACTCAATCAGAAGTATGTTCAAGCTGCTATGGGCATGGAATGGTATGTACTAGCCCACTCAGTAATTGTCACCTCTGCATTCATCTGACCATACCAAGAAGTAATATTGCCATAAACTGACCTATTGAAGAGTTATATAGGGAATACACATCTTCTCTGACAGGCAGTATAGTGTATTTGGGATGCAAGCGGTATGTGTTAGGTTAAGCAAGTTCTGTGTGGAAATATTTAAGTTAATATCAGCACTATTTTTTTTTTATTTGCAGCCTCCTGTTCTTAAAAAAATATCTCACTTAGGCTGCCTTGTGATAGGGAGTGAAAACTTAGAACAGCCTCTGACTTGGATCCAGACAGCTTGTACGAATCTTTCTTTGGAGTTGGGAATAGATATGTATTTGGGAATAAACTGTGCTGCTCATGAGCTAATGGACTATGTAAGTTTTTGTTTTTAACACAGTATCTTAATTTTGAGCAGTCTTTGTCCTTGTGAGTAGCTGTTTTTTACCTCAGTGAATTATTTCAAAGGAAAATGCACATCTTGGGGAGGAAGAATAAAATGGCAAACCATTTCATGCAGGAGAAAGGGCAGTGCCCCATTTTGTGGTACCTTTGTGTGTCCTAACTACCATAGTTGACTATAGGGATCCGCATGGTCTTTGGACATATGTGTCAAAATAAATGAAATCAATGATATGAGTGTGTTTCTGGGGCAACCACAGAACGGAGCAAAGAGTCTAGAGGCAAAACAGCACACCCACAGGTGCTTTGTGTTAATTTCAGTACTCATGTGTCACAATCAGAAGTGGGAGAGGTTGGGGGGGGGAGAGAGAGAGAGAGATAGAGAAACAACTCAGGAAGACACCAATTTGGTAGCAAAGGAGAGACAGGATGCTCTTTATCTTAGAAATGAACCTTCCTCACCTTTTCTTCTCCAAAGTCATTGATTAAATCATCACCACTAATTTCAGATCCACAGAAGGGGAAGAAGGGGCAGAGAGAAAGGACACCAAATAGAGCAGAGGAAGCTCCCATTGTCCGTTTAAGAGGAAATTGAAAAGACCATTCCCATTACTCTTTCGATATCCATCACTCCTTAGAAAGCTGGAGAAAGGGCTTTCTCCTGGATGTTGGAGAAAAGAGGGGAAGTAAAATAATGTCAAGCAGCCATCTCTGCAGACAGCTGCTGCCTGGCCACACACCTTCTGTCCTGCCTGCACCATTGCCTTCACCATTTAGTTTGTGATCTCACTCAGCTATATGCATTTCACCCCTTGAAGAGAATATTAATTTTGCATATAACTGGAAATGTACAAGTATTGGCATAGACTTGGATAAGAATTGAGTCAAAGTGTCTCCAAAGGGCACAGGGGGGCAATCAGGACTAACCTGTGTTCTCGTATTTGGGCACCAAATGTGTGGGTGGGGACAATGTATGGCTCTAGTTCATTCCTATACCTACCTAATAAAGGAAAATTGGGTAGATCCACATTTGCTTATCTTGTCCATATTTTAAATTTCAGAGTAAAGGTAAATACGAAGTGCTGCTTGGAACACACAAGACTTCTGATGAAATGGTGGATGTATATGTGGACTTGATTAATAAGTTCCCATCCATCATAACATTAATAGATCCACTGAGAAAAGAGGTAGGCATTGTGTTGTTCAAAATAGGATCTACAAGTGAAAGAAACATCTTGAAAGTGTTTAAGATTTGGGAATAGTTCGAAATTAAACCTCACTGTATCTGCATAGGTCTGACCCTGTTAAAATGTGAAAGATGTGTGGCTACAAAGATATAAGGAAAACTCGAATTTTTTTTGTTTTTGCTCAATTTCCTTGTCTTCCTAGACTTCCCTTGAGATTTCTTGGCACCAGTGAGGGAAAACAAGAATTTTGGTCTCCTTTCTCTTGATTTGTTCACTGATTTTTCTGTACAGAAAACAAAATAATGCACAATATCAAACAATTTTTCCACAAACTCTGTGGGATTATTGTGCAGGACAGAACATAATCTATACAAGGGAGGATTCCAATGCCCAAACCAATTTAAGTGGAACTTTCAAAAATGCAATTTTTTAGCCTATGCAAGTGAATGCTGAGGAAACAGTAAATAATTTGCGCAATATGAAAGCATACCCTGCACAGAATAGAGTTTAGTGGCATGTCTGTTACACCTGCCATTGAATCATGCTTTGATGAGGCGGGGGTGGGGATATTGATAGGATACTGTGTCACATAAGAAAAGGCTGATTCTTCTTCGTGGCCTCTGTGAATGCACACTAATGGGTTTAGTCTGCGCATGCGCAGATGCCTTGGAATATTCTGGAGGTAAAAAGATCGCTAGGACTGCCCCCCCAGCAGCCCATGTGGCCCACTTTTCATGGCGGTTACCTCACTTCCATTTTTTCCTCTGCTGTAGAGGTCTCTTTTTCCTGGTGCTCTCCTACAGTGACCTGGAAATTATAAAAGGACAAGTTCAATCGCTTGATCGCTTTCATTTCTTCTAATTGTTCGTATTCCTTGTTGATTTTTTTAAAAGACTGTAGATTAGTTTTCCCCACTTCTCTCTCCAAGTTATTCCGTTCCTGCCTTTTATGGCCCCTAAGGTTTCGTTCAAAAGTTATCTCTCCTATTGTAAGAAGATCCCAACTACTGATGGGCATAGACTGTACTTATTTTGCCTGGGCGAAGCCCACCAGCCTGCGTCTTGTGTTCACTATAAGAACTTTACAAAACAAGACCTAAAGTTGAGGGAACAGGGGCTCCGCGCTTCTTTATTTTATTTATTTATTTATTTGTTCTATTTGTACCCCACCTATCTGGTCAATACGACCACTCTCGGCGGCTTCCAGACAGGTAAAAATGCAATAACATATACATATAACAAAAAATAAAAATATACAGGAATAGACATTAAACAATGAACAATAAATAATAAACAATCTGTGGGAGAAATCTCTGCAGCCTCCCACCATGGACACTCCTTCTCTTACTCAACGCGCCACTCTCTCTCCCGTTGAAACTCCTGTTCATTCACCTAGATCGAAGAGCTCTTAAGATCAAGTCCAGCTCCCAGGCTGAATCATCCACCAAACTGAAGCCTAAGACTTCAAAAATAAAAAAAAATCCAAGTCATCTTCTCCGTGACAACTGACACCACAACATTCCTCCTTTCATTCTGTTGTTGATCTAGAAATCAATAAACATTCGGTGCCTCAAATACATATGGAACCACCATCTCCATTGCTCATGGTACTGGCTCCCTTGGTGGACACCTCGGCGGAGGCACAAATCACATACTCCTCAGTGCCTTCAAGCCCCAGATTGATTCCAGATCTGAGATTCGTAACAGGCTCTGGGTCCTCTTGTTCACCAGACGTCAGCACAGTTAAGAAGAGGAAAGCAAAAAGGCACCATATCGAACAGCCTGATACTGAGGAGAGCTAGCCTCTGAAGCATTCGGGGCTCAAAGGCTATAAAAGCTCCAAGGCTCGAAAACATTGGCCCAAACATCAGAGGGAGTGTGATTCATACTATGATTATGCACCAGTACTGTACCAAAAACATCATCAGTGCTGGTACTGAGGAATGCGACACATCTACGACCCTCGCCGGGTATACAATTTGGATTACTCTTCAGATTCCTCGTCTTCGTCTATATCTTCCTATGATACCAGCTCTGAATTTGACACATCACCTTCCCCCAATACTAGGAAGCACAGGAGGTACCGATACCACTGATCTTCTCCAGTACCGAAAAACCGCAAAGCAGAAGTGCCCTCAGTACCAAAGAAACATAAAGTAGGAGCTTCCTCGGTACCGAAGAAACATAAAGCAAAGGTCCCCTTGGTACCAACAACTAAAAAATCAATGGCTACCACCCAGTCTGAGAGCATGCATCACATACCCAGGGACCATACCTCTCCTATGGTTGCAACATCTCACAGTACTGACCCTGCTGATACCGCACACGGTACCAAACGTAAAGCTAGAATTGTAGAAACACACTCTAATACAAAGGAAAAACCTGCAAAACACCAAAAGGTACAGTATGCATTTGATGAATCACAATCTTCAACACCCCAGAACTCTGAATCTGATTCCTCTGACTCTGTGGTACCTCAAGAAGCACCACCTAACATGAACATGCCAGACTCTGATATCTGTGATGGAAATCCTCCGTCACCTGCAGCACACCTCAACTCATATTCCAGTATGATACAGAGAATCGAAAAAGCTTTAGACAAAAACCTCCGCAGAGAGAAACGGACAAGGTCTATGAGGACATCGATGAGGATTCAACACCTCCATTATGTTTTTCGTTTATTCCATCTTTGTTCCGACTACTTAAACCTGGGACAAACCCTTCTCGATACCCCAGATGTCTCGGTGCGTCGAGAACCTTTATAGGATTCATGGTACCGACACGAATTTTCTAGCTAAACACCCACCTTCCAACTCAATAGTTACCCAAGCTAGATCCCAGACAAGATCTAACACCACTCCTAATAACAAGGAGGGCAGAAAGCTGGATCTGTTAGGAAGAAGGGTTTGTTCTTTGGCGTCATTTACTCTTAGGGCTGCTAACTACATCACAGTGATGGGGGCTTACCACAAACACCTATAGAATTGTGCTCTCCCATCGCTGCAAGCAGCTCCTGCAGAGCTCAAACCACGTGGCCTCTCTTTCCATCAAAAGGCTTTGGCTCTTGCAAGACAGGAGAGAGCAATGGCTAGACATATTATCGAGTCTGCCTCTAAGCATTTGATGACCAGAGTAGCAATAAGGCGACATGCTTGGCTACATTCAGCTAATATTACTAATGATTCCAAATTTAGGATAGAGGACTTACCCTTTGATGGCACTGGACTTTTCGATCCCAAAATGGATGATATCCTAGAGAATCTGCACAAAATGAAAAAGACAGCTCATGCTTATAATTCCCAACCTTACTCAAAGATACAATTGGAAAAGACAATATTCATACCAACCTTACCAATCTTACAAATCTTTTTCTAGAAAACAAAGGTATCTTCCCCAACAATCTTCCTCATATCAGCCTCGCCACCAAGATCAGCATCAGCGTGCTTGCCAATCCTACAGGAAGACAGATCAGAAATCCAAACAGAGTCTTTGACTTTGCCAACTTTATGCCTCTCTTCCCATCCGCCGTTCTTCCCACACGTTTAGCACCATTCTTAAACACATGGACTCAGATTACTACAGATTCCTGGGTGCTTTCGATCATCACCCACGGTTACACCATAGAACTCATAGACACACTTCCATATCGTTTATACTTACCCTTCTCTTCCCCTCAAAAGAGAAATAGAACTTCTTCTTTAAAAAAATCAGCCATATCACCAGTCACCATCGATCCCATCGACCCTGGATTTTTTTCTTGTTCAAAAAAAAGACGATTCTTTCTGCCCTATCCTAGATTTTCCGAGATTTAAATCTTTGTTATTTGTTAACTGCGGGCTAGTCAGAAAAAGTATTGTATTTTTCTGCATATAAAATGACACTTTTTACTTAATTAGACAAAAAATTGACGGTCATTTTATACACGGAAGGCAGCCACTATCCCTGCCTTTTGCGAAGCCACAGGGTAAAGCAGCTGTGAAAGGGCAGCACGCTGGCACCCCTTTGATCCTGAAGCAGCCATGAAAGGGCTTTAGGATCAAAGGGGTGCGATTGTGAAAATTTTCTAATTTGGGGGTTAGAAAAGGGGGGTTGTCTTATACATTGGGTCATCTTATAAACGGAAAAATACGGTTTATGTCTGCCGTTGTTTCTTTTGTTCATCATGTCGTGTTTACAATTTTTGTCTTTTAATTGTAGTTGCATTTATTGTATGCTTTGTTATGAGCTGTCTTAGAAGAATTTGTATCTGAAATAAGGAATTGAGTGATTAAAACAAATACATTGAGGCTGCAGTTCAGTACACATTCTCCTGGAAACAAATTTCATTGATATCTATGAGACTTAATTCTACACACACACACACACACATATATATATACTTCTACACAGAAGTAAATTTTATTTGCCTTGCAAATAAAACTCAGTGGCAGTGCAGTTGCATGAGTTTCAGATGGCATCATAAATTTTAGTTTTCCATATAATTCACCACCTATTGGAGGAGTTTGGAACTAGCGGTAGTTTGTGCTGTATTTCACTACTTCACTTCAGCTCATCCAACTTACATCATATAACATGCATGTTTAACACATACATGGTTTGATGCAGAAATTGATGGTTTGATGCAGAAATGTATAGCTAATATATGTAAGTAAGCTAAATATATGCCATAAAGTATTTTCTATTTAATTATCTGGCTTTTAATGCATCCACATTTTTGTCTATAGTAAAAACTAGAAGGTACCACTTGGAACAATAAAGAGCTTGGGACACCTTCAATGCAAGCACATTTTATTGGGTGTAAGCCTTTAGGGACTGCAACTCAGATCTTCAGATGCATGGCACAGAGCCTCAGTTGGACAATATTAGCCCAAGGGGAGGGTGGCTAGAAGACTATATCTCTTGTGAGAAAAAACTAGGAAGAAACAATTTTCCAATTATTAGTGTTCTCTAGATTTGAAACTTGTATAGTAATTTTATCTCAAATAGCTGTGTTGCACAAATTTGTATGTAATTTAGATTTATGGAATAATTTTATATTGGCCATTTGTTTCTACCATTGTAGTTGCTAAAACGAGCTTTTTGAGCTTTGGTAAAATACCTAATCATTCCTCTTTAGTAGAGAGAGAATACATTACCAAAAGAGACATGCTGCATGCCTTGGTGTCTACTGTGGTCTTTCCTTACTCCTGAGAAAACAGTGTGGTCTGAGGGGAACTTAACATGGCCACTCCACTGCTTGGTCCCAGATTGGCATGTCTGCTGGTCTGGTTACCAGCTCGCTTCTATGCTATACAACAAGATAAATGCATTCATATCTAATGAAGATTAATCTCCTCCACTCCCCTCTTTATGCAGACCATTAAAACCTAGACAAAACTAAGAGGCTTTACAATAGTTTTGGAAAGATTTTGGCATGGATCCAAAGGGAGAGAATTCTGTAATTGTGGGGGCAGCCATCAAGATGTTGTATATGCTTGCAGAATACAAATGGCATAGTGAAGAAATGTTTTGCCAGTCATTCTCAGAAATCATTGTGGAGGTACTGGAGAATGACTTGTTTGCTGCCATGGTGTCAAATATGGCAAAATCTTGAATATATATATACTACCTTCTTTTGCAGGAGTATGGACAAGGAAAATTTAGCTCATAAGGCTAATGAATAAATAAACTCACTTTATGGGGTGAAATCACTGATTTTTTTCCTGCTGAAATATTTTAGACTTACGTTGCATATTGGAGTAGGAATAAGCTAGAAGGAAATGTGAAGCAAAAGCAAAAAGCGTGCTGCTTATATACTGCCCCATAGTGCTTCAAGCACTCTCTGGGTGGTTTACAATTATGCAGGCTACACATTGCCCCCACCCTCACATGAGCTGGGTACTCATTTTACTGACCTTAGAAAGATGGAAAGACTGAGTGAATCTTGAGCTGGCTACCTGAGACTGAACCCACGTCATGAGCAGAGTATTGGCTGCAGTACTGCAGTTTACTCACTGCACCACAACGCTCTAAGATAGGGGTATCTGTTTTTGTTTATGCCTTTGAACCAACTTCCACTTTTTTTGTGTGGCAGTGGAAAAATCCTGCTCTAACCTTTTTTCTCTCTCTTTTGCACAAGCAAAGCCACAATCCTAGAAATGTGATTCTGCACAGGGCACACATCTTATTTTAAAAGGGATAAACCGACTGTCTCAGCAACCAAATGGGATGTGCCTTCGTGGCCCCCACACACCTCAACCCTGGCCGCTCAGAGATCAGTTTCTAACCCTAACCATGGCTGACTTAGCGATAAAGCGTTTTTCTACATGACACCCCACCCCACCCCAGCAGAGTTCTGGAGCTATGTGAATGTCAAGCAGACTCACCCAACGAGTCAGATGATTTGGTATCTGAGATGCATGTTTCATCCAAGTCCTGAGAATCTGGCTCCCACAGGTCCTGTCTCTGCTTCATAGAAGAAACAAGCTCTGGACCTGGGATTGAACCCCAGGTCGTGAGCACACTTTTGGCTGCAGTACAGCGGTTTAACCACTGTGCCACGAGCATCAACTATTGGGTGTTTTTGATAGCTTGCACAACTGTATCCAGTACAGGTTAAATTCTGAACTATTTTTTTTCTCTCAGTAGCTTCATATAAGAATGTATTGCTTTGAATGCATTTCTTCTCTTTTCAAATAAAAATAAGCATAAAGGGGAAAGAGCAGTTTTAAAGATACTGAGTTCAAAGATGCTTATAGCTTTATAGGTTAAAATTTGAGTCTAGATATGTGTTCAGAAGACTAATAGCACAGAAGTACTGATGAAGCATCAGAATTTTCCCTATCATGTTGCATTTGGGTTTGGAAGCAACAAGAAAGTGGGAACAAAAAGATGGTAGTTTCCACATGTTTGAGACACCAGACATACACAGCATTCTTTTCTCCTTTAATGCCAAATTAGCTTTGAGACATTCTGGGACCTGTGAGCTTTTAGGACCATGATGAAATGTTGGTCACACAGAGACAAAACAAGAACTACTAGTAGTGTAACATTCTTATTATCTGGATAAGGAAATTCTTTATGATGGCCAAAGGCTGAAATTCATGTTTTGCTGCTGACTTTTGCTTGGTAGTAGACAGACTGTCATGACAGTGCTATATCATTTTGAATTTCACCATTGTTTTTATGAACAGCTTCCTAAAGATCACAGGTGGGCAACCAGTTGCCATCACAGCCATTGAGTGCAACTTTTTTAAATGTAGGTGTTCAAACCCTGAATTATCTTTGCCAGCCAGCTACACAGTTGTTTAACTGGATATAAGAGCTGAGGTGGAGATATGCAGAAGTTACCTTTCTTGTGTTCCTTCTTCCCCTTCCTAGCGGCTGAGTGCTGGGCTGGCCAAAGCACATTTTAGCTTATGACACTTCTGAGGCAGGAATGACTCTTCGTGCTCCATCCTCTCCATCCCAGTCATACTCTCTCCAGTCCAGCAGCCTTCACATCTTGCTTGCACACCTAGCCACATACCTTTTCCCCATAGCAAGAGAGCAGAAGCCACCTCCACGCCATCATAGAATCAAACCAAGGTTTAAGAGGAATACATATCTCCCCTCAAAATAAGCCAGTTAGCCCTCTTTCCCTCCCCGAACAGGATTTTCTCAGAGATTCATTCTTCAGCAGTCAGGTTTGTAAATGAAGCTAGTCAGGAAACAAAATACCTTAAAGCCATAGCTGATAGAGCATGAGAAAATAAACCTGTTTGTAAAGTGTTGTAGTATTTCACCCCTTTCCCCCTTTCTTTTCCCCTTTGCCATTATTCATAGGTGGCAAGGATCACATGTTGTGACGAACAGAGGTCCTTTACTACTTGAGGGAACATGTCTGCAAAAAAATCTGCAAAATGCTCCCCATAGGGTTTTTTGGGGGGGTTAAGAGTGCAGGAATGGCTGTCTTTAAACCTCTGCTCCCTGTGCCCTGAGATACCATAATTATACATTCCACCTTCATACTGTCCAACTCATTGTCAGTTTCCTAAAATGGGTCAGCTGGGTGGCACAGGACAAGCAATTTAAATAGGGAGGGTGATGCATGAGGATAGCACTCTCTATGGAGATAAATTGATTGTTTTTGTTGTAGAGCCACATTTGGCTCCTGAAGGTATTGAAGATAATGCTCAAAGTATCTCATTTCCATTTATAGTTCTTGTCAGCACGTTCCCTTGGTTTCTGATACTAATTCTTGAAATTGTTGTTGGCTATTTGTATAGGACAGGCAGCAGTGGATCACCTTGCGCAATACTCTAGGTTCTAAATGTTACATTGTTGCAGAAGATTTCTGCAGGAATATGTCTAAACTTCTGGAGGACAAAAGCTTAAGCACACCAAAATGCAGTGGTCTCATCTTTAAACACACCAATGAAGCAAAAATTTCTGACCTTTTAGAAATGACCCAGCTTTTAGATGGTAAGGAGGGGAATGAATTAAATTTTAAAAATGTGGTACAATCTGTGAAAAGTATGTTAACATTTTATATTTAAACACAATAATTGACCGTGTTAGGAGTGCTTATTAGAGAAAGTGGCTTTCGTCCTGGGTTGACAATAGGCCTGAGGGCTCAGGTTCAAAATATTGAAATGAATTTGTAGAATATAATTCAGCTCAAAGCACTGCAGAGAACCTGGGTAACAGGGCGTATCACCTCCCTTGCATACTATTGGCTTCTGTGAAAGAGTACTGTGGAGATTTTATAAGTTTTCAGTTTGTAATGAAGCTGCTGAAACAGATGAATGCAAAGCTTCTGAATTTCATTTACACCAGCTGAGGGAGTGGTTACCTCCCTCCTTCTCATCTACAGAAATAAAAGCAACTCTTACACAAGAGAGAGAGTTCAATTGAATACCTCAAAAATCCTAATCTTTTTTCTCAATACACTGCCAAAATGATCAGCTTATAACAGTTATTGGGACTGACAGAGGCAAGTGTTACTTTAGTTGTTACAGAGAATGTCCCCAAACCCAATGAGTTAAATGTTTATGAGCCCATTTCAATGAGTAGGCTTAAGTGTTCAGCTGTACATTTGATTTTGAGCAGACAATTTATTGGAGAAAAAATACATGGTAAGACAAAACTACATTGTGATGGTCACATGCAAAAAGCAACTGATTTTGCATGGAACACAGAGAATACACTTGGGCAGAATACACTTAGCCCTTTCTACCCTGTACAGGTCGGAGACGCATTTCTGTATTAGGAAGTCCAGATGGAGAATCTTTGGATGACAGTCTTGTGGACCTGGTAAGTACTGAAATATTTCAATTGCTCAAATGTGTTTTTTTTTTATTCAGAACTGGTCCATAGTAGAAACATCTGTAGTTGAGGCACATCTAACCTTTTAAGAAATTGGCTTTCTGGAGAAAGTTGTCTTTTAAAGAGAGTTAATCTTTGACCTTTAAGGAAAAAGCAGGACAACAGTGGACAGAGGCAGCATACCAAAAATATGTGTTGTCTCTTGCTGACATTTTAAGGAAAAGTTAATTATTCAAAACATATAGCAGTAATGGTATTTCTTGTCTAACAGGTCTTAATGGACTCAAGCTAGTCTCTTTGTGTGAAAAGTATAATTACATAGGGGATGTCACTAAAAATGGCAATTTGTTTAAAATTAATGTCTGTATTTTCATAGAGCCAATTGCCCCATCTTTCTTTTGTGCTTCCTAGCTGCTTCTTCCTATTTTTTCCACAGAATACTGCACTTTCCATCCTTAACTCTGTGTGGTTTCTCTTATCCCATCTCTAATTTGAAGACGTATTTAAAAATGATGCTATCTAGTTTTTTTTGTCTCTAGTAATAATTTGAAGATTTTGTCCATTATGTTGTAAGTTTTCTAATAGAAACATAAATTGTGATAACTTTTCATTCCCAATTCACAGCCATCACAATGTAAATGCTCAGACCATGTTACAGGCAAGTGTATCAGTGAGTACCCGTGCAGAGAGGAAATTGTGTGTGTGTGTGTGTGTGTGTGTAAAATTGAGGCATACTTCAGGAACACTATCTGGTAAGGGGCATTAAACTATTTATATTTTTGTTTCAAATCTGGAGGTTTAAAATCTGGATTTCTCTTTATTAAGGCTGTTGGACTGGGAACCCGGTTCATCAAGTTGGGAGGTCTTTTGCGTGGAGAAAGAGTGACCAAATACAACCGGCTTCTTGCAATAGAGGAAGAACTGGGCAAGAATGGAAAGCTCTGTAAAAACCTCTTTCTTACTTTGTTTTCAGTGCTTAGTGAATAAGAATACAATGATTGGAGAAAGAGAGATTGAAAATACTCTGCAGGAGGGAAAGTGAATAAAAAGACTATAAATAAGTACTTGCAGAAAACAGGATTACATTTGCCACAAAGTATATTGTCTTCATAATAAGTTGTCCGTTTACCTGAATGCTAAAACAAGGCATTATCTTAGAATCAGCCACAATAACCTTTTATTTCACAGAATTAATTGGCTGTAGTCCTCAAGGCCACTAGAGAACTTTAAAAAAATAATTCATAGAATTTTAGCTAGAGGCAGACATGCTGCCGATGGTTTTAAAATTGCAGTTTGTTGCTCTGTATTACAGAATCAATCACATTCCATGTAAATGTACAGAAAAACACCACTGAGAAAATATTTTGTGCAATTGGTGCTGAAGATAAGTTTTGCATGTTTAAGGTCCTTGATAAGATCTGCCATCTTCAGCTGAAAGAGCTAACAAGCTGAATGGAAAGTGCAGAACCAAGAGAGCAACTTGTATTTGGTATCTTGGCCTCCCCCCAAGAAGTTACTTGTCCTCATAGGATAGTTTCTTATGTTCTAGTTTTATTTTGCCATCAACAGTGGCATTGATGTAAAGAGTGAAGGTGTACCTTCCATCATGTACAGTTTGTCAAAATAACCTCACAACTTTTTTTAAAAAAAATCTTTTTGAGTGCATCAAATCCTTGGGCACAATTTATCCTTAATGGAGGCTTGGGGCCTCCATGTAGAAAGCGTTCTAAAAAACAAAGCAGGACCCTGGTTCTGTGTTGGCGCATAAGCAACAATTGCATCAAGCTTCTACAGGGAGTAAGTGGCCTGTTCCCATATCTCACCTTACTGCTTGTCATACCCTTAAAGGAAGTGGAAGGCCTGTTTGAATTCTTGCAGTTGCTATTTTGTACTATTTTGTACTTCTGCATAACTTCATGTCTTGAAATATGAAGAGGAATCCACAGGACAGAGATATTCCTTGAAGAGAATAACAGAGTGTCCATGTACTAGGTCATAGAGTAGCTCATGTTGATTAAACTAAATATATGTTTGGAAATGCATCTTTATATTTTGTGTACTTACAACATTGTAGAATCATATATAGAAACACAACTATATAATTCCTGGATTTCTTTTATTTTTTTGTTTGCTTGTTTCTGCCCCCTCCCTACTACCAACAGATGAACAAATATTTATCACCTTTGTCCTTGTTAAAAGGAATCCAGTGACGCTTACAAAGTAGAAGGATCATTTGAGAGGGTGCTGTAGTTGCCTAAAGGAGGACCCATGGTGTGCTCATTCTTCAGTAAGGCTCCTTCTGTTTCCCCCTGAAATTATTGATGAAGATAGAAGACACAGTTGTTTCTCAAATATCCAACAGATGAACAAATATTTATCACCTTTGTCCTTGTTAAAAGGAATCCAGTGACGCTTACAAAGTAGAAGGATCATTTGAGAGGGTGCTGTAGTTGCCTAAAGGAGGACCCATGGTGTGCTCATTCTTCAGTAAGGCTCCTTCTGTTTCCCCCTGAAATTATTGATGAAGATAGAAGACACAGTTGTTTCTCAAATATTGTATGCATGGAAGGCTCCTTCTGTTTCCCCCCAAAATTATTGATGAAGATAGAAGACACAATTGTTTCTTAAATATTGTATGCATACCTGTTTTAAAATTATCTGGACATATATATACATACATTTCTTTTTCTAGGTGAAAGAGATGATCATGAATTTATTGATTTTACCGAAGAGGAGGAAGAAGAGGAGGAAGAATACGAATATATTGATTTTGTGACTGTACAACCCACTGTATAGAAAACTTTTGACCTTTGTTGGCCTAGAACTGTTTGTGAGAGCATTGCATTTTTCTGAGTGTACCATGGAGGGAGAGCAGCTACGATGAGACAGTAAATCTCTTTTTTATTTCATCAGTTTTGGAAATATGTTTTATTTAAAGCATGTATATTTTGCTTTTGTGTTACTTTGCTGGCACAAATGGGATTTGCTGCAGGAAATTCCACCTACTATTATTTGTTTTTGTCAGAGTAGGACAAACTTCAGAAAGTGACTACAAAATTATAATCAGTATTGTTAGACATTTTAATTCAGACATACTGACGGCTAGGCATTTCAAGTGGATTTTCTCTCTCTCTCACACACACACACACATGCTCCATTCTGATCTATTAACAATGGAAACAGTTATTTGAAGCACCAATTACAAGAATGTCTTCCTTTGAAATATAAAGTCACATATGTTTTGGTAGATTCATTGACCCAGAAAACTATCACTGTTTGCATAATAGTAACAGTAACTTACTGTGGCTAATTGACAACCTGCAGGTTGTGCAAGTAGGCTTGTGACCAAGTACATGACCAAGACACGCCCAGCACCTCTTCAGTTGCTATGGTTAGCTGTAGCAAATTACACAAATCTTACGTAAAAACTAATAGAATTCTGACCTTTTACAGGTTCGTGAGTTTAAAGATATTGTATGTAGTAATCATCGCTCCAAAATCTCTAGTTTATTTCAGTGAATGACCTTCTTCCATTCACTAAAATTTGCTCCCTCTGTTGTTGAACCATCCTTTTTGTCATTGCATGGAAGGTGGATGAGAAATGGGGGTGCTGTCTCGAGACAATTCAGGGAGAAAGGCAAATGCCCCATTATAATTGTCAAGATTTTTATATGGGGATTACTTAGCTATCCACAGTTTTATGAGGTGGACAAAGTGCTTCTCCACCCCATTGTACATTTAACGATTCTGAAAACTCCCTGCATTTCTCTCCTTTACAAGAAATAGACAGTGGTCATAGAAAGGGGGGGAGGGGCTTAGCCCTACATATAATCTTGAACTTTTTGGCATTCCATTATCTACTATTATTCCAAGATTTATCCAGAGCTCTCTTTATATTTAATGCCTGCTTGGACTTCTCCATCTTATGGCTAATTTTTTGCTGCATGACAGGATATCAAAATGTGGATATTGAAAATGGATGCATTACACTGAGCCTGTTCCCAGCATGAAATAACATCCAAGTGCCAACACTTCTGGGAAATAGTCAGAAATGTTTTTAATAATCAGCATTAAAAAGAAATAATTTATATCAGATTATAACAATTTACCTGGAAATATATTATTTTTGAATTTTTGTCTCTTCTTCAGCAACAATATTTCAAGGAATAAAACATATTGAAACTGTATTAAATTCAGTATAATCAAACAAATACAAGTGCAAAATTAATTAGTAGGTAAAAAACCTACTGAAAGGCAGACTGAAGAGAATAACAATTGGACATGTTTCATTATAATCATGAAATATTTCCCTATATTTATGATATGATCCACCTCAGTATTTGCTTGACAAACATGTGAAAAAAGAGAAAACATACAACTACTACATTAATGATGAAATCTTAAGCATATCAATTCAGAAGTAGGTTTAGTAATCCCTACTCACAGGTAGGTTTGTATAGGATCACAACCCTATTATTTCTTTAGAGCTAAACACTGAACATCTACATACAGAGCAAGTGAATTGAAAATGTTCATCCTTTAATTCCAACTACTAATCACCATCTCTTATGAAGTTTACAATCAATTGAAGAATGTTACTCAAACATGTTCAATCAACACTAAATTGCAAACTGTTAATGTTTCAAAAATGTATACCCTTATCACACCAGTATATGTTAAAAGCAGCTGCTTTTGGAAACATTACTAAACTGTGAATTTTCAGGCAAGATAACAAATTGCACATTTATAACGTCTTCATCAAACGAATAAGTGCTGACTAAATAAATGATGTAAAGTATTTTGCTGTAAGTTTCAAACCCTGTATTCTGACAGACTACAGGTGACAGTGTCATTTTTGTTATGAAAAGAAAGATTAGTGTTTGATGTTCTTGGTCAGATATTTACTGTAAGTTTATGTGACATACAGCTTGGATTTCACTTATGTTTTGTCATAAGTTCAAGTAGTTTCAAGAGATTCCTGTTCAAACCAAATACTTGTAGAAGATAAAGATCCTGGCAATGTTGGCCATATTGGCTGAAGGTAATGGCAACTGGAGTCTTCTAAAAGCTAGAAGACCACAGGCTCCCACAGCCTCAGGGTGGATAGAGTTGAAGGTACAACAGTATTCCATGTGATGGCACAGAATTTTTAAAGTTTCTGCATGGAGTTTCCATGCCAGAATAGACTTCAGTCTACATGGGCGAGGTATAAATGTAATTAAGTAAATAAATAAATGCCATTAAGTGCTGATGTACCTGTGGGGTGCTATTGGGCCACCATGTAACTAGAAATATACAAATGTTTTGCAGGTCCCACTAGCTTGGAATGATCTTCTGAAATAGGTTTCCCCTGCTTGGTGCTCTGTGTACCACTTGCCATGGTGGTTAGGGATGATGGTGAAGTATTCAACAAGATTGAAGGCCACCAATCTGGGGAAAGCTGCTAGGAGGGAAGTTTTTTTTATTATCGTTATGTGGTGCTTTATGGCTGCTGTTACATGTTTCCCAATAGCACTTTATAGCAGCAGCTGTTGCAACCTACATTTAATGTAGATATTACGCACATACAGATGACAGCAATGTGAAATCAAAGCTTACCATAATTTCAGCAGATTTGGGTCTTGTGAGGAGATTCAACACAAACACAGTGGGCTGTGAGTCTGTCATCTCTTGTATTGCTATGGAATACTGGCTGCATGATGGGTGCAGTCTTAAACATTCAAGATATAATATACTAGTGTATTGTGTCATTGAAAAAATAGTTGAGGACAGAAGATGCTTCCTTTTCCTAAATTGCACTGAAATTCTAAAATAGTCATAATGTCTTACAGCTGAGCCAGTACAGAGGATGTCAGAAGTGTACCAGTCATTCATATAGTAATAAATGAATGCAAATAATTCACAATCAACCTACATGAAAGGAACACCAAGGTTGGGTGGGGAGGGGGGAATTCCAGGAGTATCCCTAGCTGCATTCTTTCTAGATTGTGCTAAATAGCAACAGGGAGTGTACAATTCTCCATGTTGTTGGACTTGCAACTGCTATTAGCCCTATCTAGCATGGCATATGGTCAGAAATGAGGGTACTGCAATCCATGAGGAAGGTCACAGTCTGCTCCCACCTGTGTTATGAAATGATTTGGGTGCAAAGTCTATATACAAGATAGGAGAATAAGTGTCTTGTAGTTTCAGCTGCCTGAAACGGAATAAAAAATTGGAAGGACAAGTTACAGAAACGCTAAGGCTGGAAACAGGACATATTTGACACATGAATTTAAAATATGTCTGTCATTAAAGAAATGGTAGCCTGTCTTCCCAGATTACTGGGAGAACCACAGGTACCATTTTTTCAAATAAACAATTGGAGAAAGGGATGTGTTAATCAGTGAAGATACCACCTCTTCAGAAACACCAAATACATTTACAATGGCCATAGCTTTCTAGGGTAAAATCCATGCCTCCATGATCAAAACTGAATGGTGAGTTAAAAATTACATGCATAAGACTATTGCCTAAATTCTTAGGAGGAGCATGAATGTTCAGGATAGTGTTTGAGTAGTACAGTGTGCTGTTTCATTTTCCCGGTTTGAATTTTATTAAGCATGTCACCTACTGTAACTACATTAATAACTTGCCTATTCTATCAGCAATGAGCCAAGATGGACACCTGTAGTAAAAGTGATCAAGCAAGACTAGCTGGGTTGTGTCAAAAAGATATATAGCAAAAGAATTGTTTTGGGCATTCAATATGTAATTTATTCCTTTTTAGATAAATTTAGTTAATGCAATATGCCCTTTATTTTCATGTGTAAGGCAAGTGGCAAATTTCTTTTAATGTTTATACTTTAATACTACAGAGTGTATATATAGGGGGGGGGAAATGCAAGTGTGATGATGATGATAGTTTTAGAACTGCATTGATGGAAGGGACTCTGTGGATCATTGAGTCCAATCCTTACCAAGACCTAAAGCACTAAGCTATCCAGCAGTTTAGCTTCTGAACAATCTTGATATGCAGGCTTGGGAAGAGAGAAAATAGAAAGAGACAATACAGTAATTGAGGTCTCTTGGTGTGGCAAACTCTATAATGTTGATTTTGTTTTCCTAAGGAAAACTGGGATTTCTAGGCTTTCAGTCAGGTCCTCCTAATAGCAGAAACCTTGCATAGTATGTCTGCTACCTATTGCTGAAACAAGGCTGAAAGGTTTGTCCATTTTATTTAGCGTGGGTATTGCAGTAATCGGCCATGTGCTTGATTAAAAGAAAAGATGCTCAGTGGAGATTTGATTGGGCCAGAATCCCTAAGGCTCACTTAACATAAAATGAAAGGTAGCTCTTTACCTGTGTCAGTTCAGCTTACCGTGTTACATAGTTTCACCAAATACTTCTGCCAAAAATACTGTGAAAAAGTACTGCACATTAAGACCTCAGAAGGAGCATGGCAAGTACCACTGTAAGGGAATTAGGTAAATCACTGAACTGTATAGACTGGTTCTGGTAACAGAACAAAAAGCAGTTGGATCACATGTTACCGGAAGAGGTGGATAAAGCAAAGTAAGTAAATTTCATTGATTGGCAATATCTGACAATTACTTCAGTGACCTTGAAAGCAAGAGCAAGAGCAAGAATAAAGTCATTGAGAATAATGCTTTGCACTTTAGTTATGGAAGCCTCAATGTGATATTCCCAGTCTTAGAATAACTACTGCTTCCGTTATTTCCAAAAGCAAAACAAGCATTGTTGCTACTTAAAATAACACTGTTCATACAATCCTGTTGTGAATTACTGTGTTTTTGTATTTCAAAACTACCAGTGCACAACTGAGTGAGAAATGTATATAGCCCTTGGATGAAGAAACTTCATATTGCTTTATAAGTACTGGGCACTGAACAAAAAGGCATAAGAGCAAAAACACAACTTTTTTTCATTTTCATATAGAATTTTAGGTTGTAACTATCTAACCGTTGACCACCGAACTTAGGGGGAATTCCTTCTGAGCAGATGCACTAGGATTGCATTGTGATTTAACCCACTAAATAACTTGCTATCAAATGTAATTAACCTGGTTAATTTAAAATATACTGTAATTTTAAAGACCAGTTTTAAAAACAAACCGGTCATAGGCACCCATAAAAGAGGGATTTATCTTCTGTGATATACAGAAGAGAATGATTTTTCTACAAAGCCTCTGCTATGACAAGGAAATAAAAATTTCTCCTTGAAACCCTTGCTCTTCAGGTCAATGATTACATCTAATTATATAACTGGCTATTGTGTGTTACATGCCATCAAGCTGCATCTGATTTATGGCATCCCCAACAGAATTCAAGGTATGGGAGATATTTAAGAGTTGGTTTTATTAGTGTCACCCTTGAGTGAGTTATCATGGCCAAGTAGTAATTTGAACCCAGGTTTCCTCAGTCCTAGAACATCACTCTATCCACTACACTACACTGGCTCTCAACTACTGTACTACTGCAATTCTAATTACATTTACTTGGACGTTATACGGATATTATGGGACCAAGTTGCTTAGTAAGTACTCGTAACTGAAGTCAAAGATTTATTTTATTAGCTAGCAATCCTAGTGTTCATTAAGAAATGATTGTTTGCTAAAAATGATTGATGGTTGCCCCTTTCAGTAGCACAAGTACATTTCTGCAATTACCTAATGAAGGTTTGATCTGTTCTTTCAAATGATCAAACCTTTTGGATCAAACCCTAAGTCATTATTGCAAAATGAGATTATCAAAATAATTTTTGATACTTTGCATAATTTAAGAAATAAGCATTTTTGGGGGGAGGGGGACAAAAACAGTTTGCTAAGTCGCCCAAAGTGAAACTCTGGACTGTACAGAATCAAGGCTAATTCTATAAACAATCACAGACACGCCAGAAAGTACACAATATAGCCCTTTCCTGTATACATAAACAAACCAATTAACAACCATTGAAAGGAACTTCCAGAAGTCATTGCCTTTTAGTACATCAATTAGCAGTGAGAGCTGTCTCTTTCTTTTGTTTTTCCAATACCAGTATCTTTACAAAGCTGTTGAGTTTCTTCGTTAGTCATCTGGCCTTGATCCACATGTTTAGGGATTTGATCTTTGGTTTTCTCAGGATTCAGCAGCACTGTGGATTCTTCTTGCCTTTCTGTAAGAGCAACCTTGTGCTCAAGTCCCACATTGCTTGGTAACCTGGAAGACACACACAAAAAACAAGCCACCACAAAAACAATAACAAGCATAAATATAGCAATAATGTAATGTACTAAAAACTCATTTTATGCCAAAGAAATCAGCTCCAGCTCTAATACACAAGTTCAAGGTGAGATTTTATTCTATAGGACAACAGCCTACTGATTTAATTCTCAAATAACTTTGAGCTATGTTAATGATTCGTGTGCCAACTTAAAGACTGTCAGGTTTTATCTTGCATAACCATTTGTAGACTGCAGCTGATTACAGTAGTGACATCTAGGCTGCAGTCTTTGACAGTTTATGCCAAATGCAATCTGCTAGTCTTTAAGGTGTCACAAGGCCTTTTGTTGTCTGTCTGTTTGGCTTTTTTTTTATACTGCAAAGGCAAGTACTTCCCTCCTGGAAAATTATAGTAGTGTTACATCTCTCAAGAGAATGGACCCAAAATATCACAATTGCTTTGAGGATTTTTGATAAACTTTAATTAACAGCATGAAGGGAAGTGTAGTAGATGAATAAAAATTGTAGTGCTTTTACCTTTCCTTGATTAGTACTACAGTCTGATATAAATAAACAAATCTCATACAGACTAGCCCTGCTACTCAGCATCATTTTAATATTTTTCTAGGGACTGGGGAAAGGTAATAAGTACATGATCCTTAGTAAGGGGTCAGGCAGAAGGGATTCCCAGAAGTAGCCCATAAAAAGTTCTGGATACAATATGATTTGGAACAGTTCCAGGCTAATGTTGCTTTAACTCCTCTGATGTATTTGTAGTCTGGACCTACATAATCTTTTATCTGTATATGAGAAAGAATGATGCATATGAGAAAGCAAAGTGATATGTAAATGCAAAATGTTGAGATTCATATAATTTGCTATGGGATCACATTCTATATCACCTATTGCATAGTTGCAAGAAACAGCAAATCTAGCAAATGTTCTGTTTTTCAAACAAGAACTTCTTTTGCATGGATATTAGTTGTTGTTCATATATCTATATTCCCTTAGGATAGGTTAAATCGTAAACTATAAAATGAAGGCTGAAATCTTGTACATATTCCATGTACAATGTCTATTTTTATGAAAATAAATTCTGGTCTGTTTTTATGTGATACATACAGAACCAGCTGGAAGTACTGTATCAGGAAAAGAGGAAGACAAAATAAAGAGATGGATTGACTCAATAAAAGAAGCCACAATTTTGAGTTTGCAACAGCTGATAATGAAAGGACCTTTCAGAGGTCACTAATTCACAGGATCACCATAAACTGGAAGCAATTTGATGGCTCATAATAACAACATGCATACATAAATGCATTAACTAAAACACAGATTTTCTTTTTTACATTATGAGATTTTAGTGTTGTTTATATCCTAAGCTGACACTAGTGGGACTTCATTATTCAAATGAGACCACAAGAAGAACTCACTTTACTATCCGGATAAGTGAAGCGCAAGACCATCAGGCTGAATTATTTTGTATAGTACACGATTTATCTGGGGTTAGTCACAGTGACAGGCCTCCTGGTAATACTTCCTGTGACGAATTTGCAGCATTTTTGAAACATAAAGTGGAGACCATCCGTCAGGACCTTGACCACCATTTTCCTTCAGTAGATTGAGCTGAGATATCAACTGCACTGCCTTGTCTGGTGAGTCTAACACAATTCCAGCCTGTGGTGTCATTAGAATTCACTGCAAGGCAACTGCAACCTCCCTAGATCCTTGCCCGGCCTGGCTCATAAAAGCTGCCAGGCCAATAACAATGGAATGGGCCACTGCTCATTAGCAATGGGTCTCTCCTTGAGGGGAGGTTCCCCTGAGCCCTCAAGGAGACACTCATTAGGCCCTTTCACAAACGAACTAATTTGGTGGCGTTTGACATTACCGACTACAGACCCGTTGTCAATGTGCCTTTTTAAAGAAAGCTAGTGGAGAGGGTGGTGGCTGACCAGCTACAGGCACTCCTGGAGGAACTGATGCCCTTGATCCATTCCAGTTCGAGTTCAGGCTGCATCATGGTACAAAGATGGTACTGGTCGCCCTGCAAGATGACCTTTTGAAGAAGACTGACCGGGCAAAATGTCCTTGTTGGTCATCCTTGACCACTCAGAGGCCTTTGATACCATCGATACCATCAACTATGATATCCCCCTGGGAAGGCTCTCTGAGTTGGGGACGGGCGGCCTGGCTTTGGTCTAGTGCAGATCCTTCCTAGAGGACCGTCCTCAGAGAGTGCAGCTTGGGGTTGATAATCTCTCCAGTGCTGTTTAATATCTTTATGAGGCTGCTGAGAGAGGTCACCTAGAGTTTTGGAGCTTTGTGTTACCAATATGGAGTGACACCTCGCTCTATCTCTCCTTCCACCCTTCTGCAGAGGATGCTATCCTGTCCCTTGAACACTGCTTGGACACCATGCTGGGGCAGATGAGGGATATTAGACTGAGGCTGAACCAAGACAGATGGAAGTCCTGTGAGTGGGTGGCCCTAGTGTCTGTGGACTGGCGGCCTCCCTTTCTTTTGTGTGTGGGGGGGTACTCTCTCTGCTAAGGATGAGGTGGCCTCCCTTTCTTTTGTGTGTGGGGGGATACTCTCTCTGCTAAGGATGAGGTTCACAGTCTGGGCATTCTTCTCAATGCAGCACTATCAATGGAATCCCAGGCAGCATCTGTGGTTTCTTCTGCCTTTTTCCACTTGAGGAGGATTGCCCAACTGTGTCCCTACCTTGATATCAAGTCCCTCACCACACTAGTCCATGCACTGGTAATCTTGTGATTAGACTACTGTAATGCTGTCCATGTGGGACTACCTATGAGGCTCTTATGGAAACTTCAACAGATCCAGATTATGGAAGCCAAACTATTGGCTGGGGTGAAGAAATACCATAATATCACCCTACTCTGGCCACCTTGCACTGGTTACCTGTTCCATGCCAGCTTTAAGGTAATGATGCTGACTTACGAAGCCCTAAATGGGTTGATACCTGACAGAATGCCTCCTTCCAATGAGATCCATCTGTCCTACAGGATCCTCTCAGGCTACGCTGTTGAGAATAATGACCCTGAGAGGGGCCCGGAAAGAGAAGACCAAAAACCAGGCCTTCTTGGCAGTTACTCCTTGTCTTTGGAATAATCTCCTGCCTGAAATCCACCTGGCCGCTTCACTGGGAAGCTTTAAATGATCACTGAAAACATGACTTTTAAGGCAGACTTTCCCAGAGTCTATAACATTGTAACACTGTGGTCATTTCAGCATTTTATACTACCTGTTTCACCAACTTACCTTTAAATTATCTTAATTATTTCTAGCTTTTAGTTATGTTGCTTGCTTATGTTTATTTGATGCTTAATTTGTATTTTTAATCATGATATTTATTGTTTTATATCATTGTTTATTTGTTTTTGAGTTGTGAACTCCCCAGAGAGGCCTTGGCAGACAAGCGCGCGCACACACGCACACACGCACGCACACACACACACACACACGGGCAGGAAGATATCCAGTCAGAAAATTCTATGGTCCACATAATGGGAAAGGTTGGTTTTAAAATTCAGTGGCCTTTTCTGGACCTTTCTTTAATTCTAGTGCCCTGAACCATTTTGCCAAAGCCTGCTGCTGGCAAGTGCTGGGCCATTTTGTTATAAAATGCAAGCCATTCATAACTTCACTCTGGATGACTGCCAAATTGGCATGTATCACTGAAAACTGGGTATGCTCAGAGAAGCTGGTTCCTTGCACATGAAATGACTCATGCATTAATATCTACCTCAGAAACTCTTCATAATTGTTCCATCAAGTATGGATCAGAGGTGGGTGGTTACTGAGGACACAGCATTTTCTGCAGTGGTGTGCCAGCTCTGAGACTTTCTTCCTATAAGGTCTACCCAGTGCTGAGTCTCCTGTATTTTGGTGTCAGGTAAGCCCCCCCCCCCTTATTTTAATCCCAGGCATTTCTGTAACTTCTGTATTTACCCAAATAATGATTGTTAATTTTTATTATATTTTTATCTGAACTAGGAACTAGTCTGACACTACCTTCTTGGCTACGACAAATATCCATGTGTAGAAAAATCATTAAGAAATTGTAGATACAGTATGTTTGGGAAGAAGAGGTTACATTATTTTTCCCCCTATACTACACAATAGCTCCCTGCAAGCTGTATTTTTCTGGAAACACAAGAAGCCTCTTTTTTCGGGGGGGGGGGGGAAATAGATGTGATGAATCCAGTTTTTACTTGAAGGGCTCAAACAATTGGGAAGAAAGGTTACTCAGCAAGGCAGGGAATGGTGCAATTTCATTGACTTAAAGCAATAAAATACAGCAGTTTTAACTAGGGAAAGCCGATCACAAGGAATAGCTAGTTGTCCTCCTGGCTGAATGTTATTTTTCAAGGTCAAATTTATTTAACAAGAAATAAGCATTTTGTAACACTATCTCAGCTTGCTTTCTGTGATATTCAAATCATATACACTGCCATCACATATAACACAGGAGTGTGAGTCTTAATTAGTACAGAAAGTAAATCCCGACAAATCCAGTTGGTGATTCTGTTCCATAATTGCCTGTCTCAAACCTTAAAGTCTATATTAATCAACCAATGCCCCTCACTCAGGTTTAAATTTACTTCATTTTTATTCTGAAAATTGAAAGAGCTTTAAAAAAAACTTTATTGGGAACCAACTTTGAAAGTGACACAGAAACAAGGGAGTTATTTGAGAAAATGCTACTTCAGAAACACTGATTACTCCCAACACTAGAAAAATGGTCAAATCCATAAATGCCAAGGTCCTTTTTATTTCACTTTGGAGATAACTATCTTTCAAAGCTCAACAGCTGGACTATTTAACACAATGTGGTGAATCAGAGTATAATTCTTCACCGGGCTCTCCACGGGGGGCTTGCATTAGTGGATGGCAGAAATCCAACAGCTGATGCACAGCCAAATAGTAGGAAGCCTGTGTCATTTACAAAAAAAACAAAAACAAAAAAAACC